TTTAAAAAGATTTGGATTTGGCAGTAAATTTATTTCCTGGATTAAACTTCTGTATGCTTCTCCTTTAGCTCATGTCCGTACCAACAATGACTATTCTGACTATTTTCCTCTCCGACGTGGTACTCAGCAGGGCTGTCCACTCTCCCCCATGCTGTTCGCCATTGCTATTGAACCTTTGGCAGTAGCCCTTAGGTTCAGTCAGATGATGGGGATCACAAGGGGGTGGCGGCTTCTGTGCATAAACTGTCTTTATAGGCCGATGATCTTTTGCTTTTCATCTCTGATCCAGACAGATCCATGCCCCAAGCGTTAGTTTTATTGGAGGAATTTGGACAGGTCTCAGGGTATAAACAAAATTTTCATAAGAGTGAACTAATGCCTATAAACTCAGCGGCCATAGCTTATCGTCTTTCAAAACTCCCGTTTAAGACATCATTAGATCATTTTAATTATCTGGGCATCTGTATAACTAAAAAACTATTCTGATCTCTTTAACTGTAATGCTGGATCAAAGGACTAAATATTTTCAATGTTAGTCTTTACTACCTCTTTCCCTAGGAGGTTGGATCAATTGCATAAAAATTAACATACTGCCTAAATTTTTATATCTCTTTCAATGCACACCGGTTTATATTCTCAAGCGCTTCTTTCACTCTTTGGATAGCTCTATTTCTCAGTTCATCTGGAATGGGAAAACTCCCAGAATACGAAAAGGCATCTTACAAAAAACCAAGGAGTTGGGTGGTTTAGCACTACCCAACTTCTTGTTTTATTATTGAGCTGCAAATATCAGAAATATGTTATTCTGGTGTACTTCTGATGACCAGCCCCCACCCTGGTTAAGGATCGAGAAGGCTGCATGTGATAATTCTTCACTTATGTCTCTTCTCTGTCTTCCTCTCTCATTATCACCTTTAACATTTTCCAATAATGTTATAGTGAAGAACTATCTAAAGATCTGGTGTCAATTGACCATTCGCAGTGAGCTTGATTGACAGGCGATCTGACCAATCAGAACGTGGATATTATGTGGTGCTGCTGCTACCCGCCATCTTGTCTGACATCTATGGACGGTCTCCATAGAAATCCATGTTAAAACGGGGTAAAAAAAGTTTAAACTTTTTTCAATTTGGCTAAATATAAAAACGTGAGCAGGGTTAAGCTGTGCTGTTGTTGGCTGCCACAGTAACGACAATAAGCTAAGGAATTCCTTTAAAGTACTTTGTTTTGCGTACCAGAAAATCTGCCATGTCCTGCGCTGTGTGCATGTCTTGCAGCACTTAAGTTAAAATACTTAATAAAAAATGAAATAATATGTTAAAACGTGTGCTCTTATCATTCTGTGGACAAAATCCCATGAACTTCGCCCCAATCGAGAGCTGTATATGCACATGTGTGCACATCTGTTTTCAATGCAGCTAACCTTGTCAATGCACTTCATGTCATCTTCCCACTTATCAAACTATGACAGGTCCTTTACTGTAAAGAGATGGTCATTGTGACACTGTAAAGTGATGAAACAACGGCACCATGTGCTTTTTTCATAGGTTTCACGTTATATTGTTGGCTCTGAAAATATTATGCGCATGCCCAGTAGCCGCAGCTGTATCCCTTCTAGCCTTAACCACAAATCAGAGAGGATAGTATATTAACTTAGGGGACTTAAACTTAAAATGGTGTGTTCCGCGGTTGAAACAAAATACTTTCTGATGTTTATTCATGTTCATTTCGTGCTTTACGTAAATATGAAAAGATGATCGGTTCAGGTGTTTGAACTGAGGCAATACAGTGATCTGTCATGACACATTAAAGAGCCACAAAACAGTATTTATTGTTTTAATTTCTTTAAAAATGACAACATTTGAAAGCTGAGAGTTCTGAGACCTTGTTTCATACCAGAAGTAACCTGCTCTGTCTTGTCTGTCGGCACGTTGTCAGTTTCCTCTTTGCTCTGCGACAAAGAACTAAAATGCAAAAAAAAAGGAAACTTAACTAGTCAGAGGCCAAAAGGGCAGGTGCTTGAGCACCACCTGGGGTCTGTCCGTGCACATGCACTGCATAACAGGTGCATTACACCCCACAAATCTTTTGGAAATGTACTGATCCAGTTGTTTAGCCATTACTATTTGGCCCTTGTCAAAGTCACTCAGATCTTTTCACTTTGTCCATGTTCCTGCTTCCAACACATGAAATTCAATAACGTACTGATTGCTTAATCCACCCCTTCTCAGCTCCCATTGTAATGATATAATTAATGTTGTGGCTGCTCAGTATACAGTATGTAGTATGAGAAAGAGAAAGAAATGTAAATACAAAAGTTGTGAACAGTATGAATTAAGTGTACAATGAACATACAAACAATTAAGGATACGTAGACTAACTTTATAGATAAATCTTGTAGTTCCCTAGAAGAGACATGCACAAGGGGGTTATCTACTGTCCCTTTGCCCCCAAACGCTAGGTTGCCCCTCCAGCAGACAGAATACTGTATGTGACCGGAGTGGAGAGGAGTGAATTCCAATCCACACTAAAAGCATTGTGTAATCAATTCACTCTGCTACTCCACTTTGATTTCAATTTCTCGCTTACACCCCACCCATGCATATTTAATTTACAATTCAGTATGGTAAATCTGCAGAAATGTTCTAATGTGATGGAGTTTGTTTTTGTTGGTAGTGTCTTGATTATCTCGTTGTCTCTGTACATGCACAAGTTCTTCCATGTTGTCTCTGTGAGTGCACAAGAAAACTAAGGGAGTGGCCAGTGATGCACAATTCTCGTATATTAACGCAATCACATTTTTTTTTTAAATAACCATGTCTAGTATTGGAGTGCTAATATATTGAAAAATATATTGGTGTTTATTCTCATTATAATCTGTAAGCAACAGTTGTACTTTCAAACTCATTTCTTTTTAAGGGGTGATTTTTGTTGGACAGCTCATGCTGAACTCATGTTTAGAGACAAAAAATGCATTATAATAAACCCATTTGTTAACATGATCTTTTGCAATACAGACAATTATGAAGCAGCACAAAATACTGAACTAAATTAATCACACACTGCTTGAAAAAAGGTCTATTGGGCTCAATGCAGATTAAACATGCAACAACAGTAAACAGCCTTATTTACAGTAAAGGAAGTTTAAGCAGCTAACATTCTGCAAAATTACATTTACACAAAAAATCTGTCAGTTTTTAAGATGTACATGCTTTAATTATGTGACAGATTTAAATCAAATTGAATGGAATAATCTTTAAATGGTCATGTCATGTTTCTGTTGTAACAGTCATCTAGAATCTTTATCTAGAAGTGTAAACCGTATACCGTATGTTGTAATATATTTGTTACAGGGGAAGTTAGATTGTCTTCCATTTACTTTTTGACACCATCATGCAGCAACAAATATGTGCATCAGTGTATGTCATGATGTATTGTGATGGCTTTAAGTTGGGGACCGTAAATTTGGAACTTGCAAGGGCTGGGGGCTTGATGACCTTTTTCTTGGTTTGGGCCACTGCCCCTCAAAATGTCTGTGCACTGACCTGTTTCGTAGTCCTGCATAATTGCACTGATAGATAGATAGATAGATAGATAGATAGATAGATAGATAGATAGATAGATAGATAGATAGATAGATAGATAGATAGATAGAACACATAAATTGTACATTGGATTTTGATGAATGAAATATTGAAATTGAAAAACTTTACTTATATACATTGTGTAATTGGTTGAGAACAAAATGACAATGGTCAGTACAAGCCAAAATCATCAACCCACAGAGGGCTGGATTCAAAATTAAAGTAAATTTTGAAATTACAGGTTGATCCAACTTGCATAAATTTCATCACGGCAACTCATAATAATGTAAGTCGTTAGTGTGTATGGCCACATGCCTATATGCAAGCTCCAAGACAGTCTGTGGTGCTTTTTTGTGACTTCAGATGTCCCGATACATAAAATTGCAGAGGTTCTCAATTGGACTCTTTGGTCTGGGGAATGTGAGTTCCAGTCAATGGCATCAATGCCTTTGTCATCCAGAAGCTGCCTATACACACTGGCCAAATGAGGCTGGGCATTGTCTTGCATCAGGAGGAACGCAGGGCCCACTGCACCAGTGTAAGGTCTGACAATGGTCTGAGGATTTCATCCCGGTACCTAACAGCAGCGTGGGTCCCATGCTTAGTTATTAACCTGCTCTTATCCATGAGGTGAACAGGGCACCAATGGCGGACCTGCCTATTGCTGGTGTTCTCTGGCAAATGTCAATCCAGCTGCACGGTGCTGGGCTGTGAGCACAGGTTTCACTAGGGGACGTCAAGCCCTCATGCCATCCTCAGTCTGTTTCTGAAGTTTGGTCAAAAACATGCATGCCAATAGCCTGCTGGTGGGCTGTTGCCCTTCTACATCCCTGTCCAACTGTGCCATCCTGGAAGAGCTGGACACTTGTAGTCACAAAGACACTAACAAAACACAAAACTAAAGACAACTCAGTCAAGAAGCATAAGAAGGTTGAAGGTTGCTGTTGCCTCTCTATTGCACCTGTTGTCACTTTCATTTGCACCATACTGATTCACAATCCCTTCTGCTTCCTTACTGGACAGATTGATACCCCTGAAGTTTAATTGACTTGGTGATATGCTCTGAATATTAAGTGTTCCCTTCATTTTTTGAGCAGTGTATTTCATTATTATAACTGAATATTTTTTCTACATTTATTTCTAAAACATTTATTTTCTAAAATAAGACCTAAAACTGGCATTAAGACTGAGATCACACATACTGTATTTACATTATTGAAAGTAGTCGATTGGTAAACCTTTAAATACTTTTTTTTATTTATGCTTTTTTAAGACTTTTTACAGTCAACAAATTTAAACTCTCTATTGTCAAGTTGCTGTTGTCAAATAAAATCTATTTTGATTCATTTATTCTTTTTTATATTTTATTTTATTTTACAATCTCCTGGCAGAGAGATCTGTATACATCTGTATATTTCTCAAAAGCAATTAACCTTATCATCACATATTAGATGAACAACAAAATGAGATGTTGCTGTAATGAATCTGATCCATGTTAATCAACATTTGGTAGTGCAGCTTCCACAAGCAAAAGCTGGTTTTGTCATACATTTTGTTCAAACATATATGGAGTAAGTGATCTTTGACATTATACTGAAGATCCTTGGCACATTTGCGAATTAAATGTCACAATATTTCTTGTTGGGAAACTATATGGAACTCATGTGTCTTTCTTAGCAAGTGTAATTTCTTCTAACAGGACTCCATGATGCGTCTGATGGAACGAATTTTCACTGGGCCTAGACCCATATTATTAAAGCTGCTGTACTCCCCTGGCCTTATGTATATCATTCTGCCTTCGAAATTGGGCTGTTCATACAGAAGCCAGTGGCCATGTGTGACATTGCAGCACTGGCAATCAGCCATGTTAAAACGTTCCTGGATTGACTCACAGTCATCCATCAGCTCATACTTTTGTCCAACAAAGTTCTCTCCTTCAAAGATTCTCATTCTGAATGTTCCTTTATGCTGCAAGGAAAAAAATATTGTTTAGTAATTCAATTACATCAATTTAATTTATATATATATATATATATAGAGAGAGAGAGAGAGAGAGAGAGAGAGAGAGAGAGAGAGAGAGAGAATTACCATAGGGATCATTCTGCAAGATCTGATGCAATCACTGATGCTTGCTCCCATGATCCGTTGGTTATCAGGATAGTCTCCTCTTCTTACCAGCATTTGGTGACCTATGAAGTTGGTGCACTCATAGACCATAAAGCAGCCGCTTTCCACCCTACATGAGCAGCAGTGGCTCAGGTATGAGGTCACCTCAGGGCAGTCACCGCTAGTCTCATAGTTACGACCATGGAAGTTTCTGTCCTCATAGAATATTATCTGGAAAGTATAGTGACAAAAAGACATGCTTACAATGGATATGCTACTCTTTGTTCTTTACTTTGCTTGTTAATCCAATTGAAAGTGCACTGTCCTTGTATTCCTCCAATAACAGCTGACATTGTAAAATCAATGTATATCTTATTTTAAGTGTGATTTGGTCTAAGTAGTAATCCCATTCAAAACCACATTTGTCTTCTTCAGCATAGTTATCTCCTACCTTTCCCATGATTTTGCATTTGTTTCTATAGTGTCAGTGTTTTACCTGTGTTGCTTTTATACTCAACTTGATTGCTAAAAATCTATAGCTCATTGTTTGAACTTCTTACTCAGCAATTCTATTTTTTCTAAACTAGGCTACAAGCAGTTACCAGAACTGTTTGTGCCTATACCCTGTGCCAACTGTGGCTTTTCTTGGTTGTGGAGGAGGACAACTGGTCCACTGATGTGTCATTCACTGTACATTTGAAACAGAATAGAGTAGAATCAAGAGAATAGAACAGATACATGTATTTCAGTAATAAAAGATGTTTTGTAAGTTTTTTTCCCCCCTAAAACTGTCAAGCATATCAGTCCTGCTTTAAGGGGACACTGGTAACTGAAGATCTCCTACACTCTTAAAAATAAAGGTGCTTCAAAAGGTTCTTCAAGCGATGCCATAGAAGAACCATTTTTGGTTCCACAAAGCACCATTCAGTCAAAGGTTCTTTAAAGAACCATCTCTTTCTTACCTTTTTGTAATCTGAAGAACCTTCTTTCGCCACAAAGAACCTTTTGTGAAACAGAAAGGTTCTTCAGATGTTAAAGGTTCTTTATGGAACCATTTAGACAAAAAGGTTATTCTATGGCATCGTGAAGCACCTTTATTTTTAAGAGTGTAGTGCCATACTGGATTATTTTAGCTTATTTTCTTAGCTGTTATGTTGGTGTTTGTTTATTTATTTTTTTCATTTAAGACTGTGAAATTAAACTAAAAACAGAAAGATTGCTTCTTTTCATTTGTGTGTAGGACAGGTTGATTATTCAGAAGTGTATTTCACAGTATGTACACTATCTTTACATTGTGGTACACAAGTATTGTTTTACATGCATACAGTCATAAAAATAACCAATGCCTTTTTATTGCCCACGTCAATTTTTATGTTATATTTTGAGGGGTTTTTACCTGTACAGGACTGGACAGTAGGAAGAGAGGAGAGAAAGGAACAGGACTGGCAAAGGACCTCTACGACTTGGGTCACCTGAGGCACATGTCAGAGTGCTTCCCACAAGGCAATTGCTCTGACGCCCATGAGCATTTTGGTAATACAACACAGTCGTATTGGTTGTAATGTCACGGCATGAACATTCAGCTGTCTGCATGATGTCTAACTAGAATTATTAATATATAAATCTTTAGAATTATGTTTGGTATGTATAAGGATTTTATTGAGTCTTTTCACAACAGATGATAGCCCCTTTCACACATACAGGCTTTACTGGTAAATTTTAAAAATACCGGTAAATTGTGGTCTGTGTGAAAGCCAAACATCTACTCTGGGCCAATCATAACATTCTGACACAGATGAATCATTTACTCCGCTCTATGTAGTTTGGTTAGAAGTTGGCTAATACAATGTCTCTGGGCCAAAAGCAGCTGAATGAATGTGAACGTTTGACACAAAAATGAAAACATCAACAAAAACACTGACTGTGTATACCCTCCATGCTTACAAACCCAACATTTCCTGTTAATGATTTCTCAGAATTTACCGGTATTTTGAAACTGATGTGTGAACGGTGCTTTACCGGTAAAAGGCGGAACGTCATTTCCTGTGTGAACAGCGCATTTTTATATTTACTGGTAAAGTCGCTCCGGTAATTTTGCAGCAATTTACTGGTATTACTGTGTGAAAGGGGCTAATGATTTATTTAATATGTTGCATTTCTATTAGTTTGCACACTTTTTGTACAATGACACTAATGGCACAACTCAAAAGTGGTGAAAACAGGTCAAGACAACAGAAAAAATGCATGGTGAGAAATTTATTGTTTATGCTTATATTATCATTTATAGTTTCAGACTGTGAATTTAACACAAGTCCATGATTCTTCTAACAGAGCTGAATCTGACGTTGCTGTATCCCATATCCCTGAAGCTCCTGTACTCTCCAGGTCTGAAGTATATCATCCTGCCTCTGTAGTGGGGCTGCTCATACATGAGCCAGTGGCCGTCCATCACATGGCAAGACTGGCAGTCGGACATGCGATAACGGTCAATGAAGGAATCGCAGTCATCTTTCAGCTCATACATCTGACCTCCAAAGTTATCCCTCTCATAGATCCTCATTCTGTAGGGTCCCCTGTACTGTAAGATGAAAAGAAATGTATTGATTCAGTCTGATTCAATGCATTTCTAATTCAATACAGTCTGAATAATTGAGCACAGATAATACTATTATTGTTTTATTTTTTGTTACCTGAGGAACCATGCGACAGGACCTGATGCCATCGCTCATTCCCATGCCCATGCAATCCGCATACTCGCCCCTCCTCATAAAGAACTGGTTTCCCATGTAGTTAGGATGGTCATAGACCACAAAGCAGCCGCTCTCCACTCTGCATGAATGGCAGCGGCTGAGGTAGGTAGACATATCAGAGCAGTCACTGCTGCACTCATAGGAGCGACCCTGGAAGTTCCTGTCCTCGTAGAAGATGATCTACAAAGAAAAAAATATGAATAATGTGAATATTAAAATACAAGTGGTCTCTCTGTAAACAGTAACCTTTAACATTTTGGCTTGGGTATGTGTATTAGAGCTTGTTTATGTAGCAAATGTTAATATAATTACCTAACCGTTTGCACATTAAAAAAATGTCATCTTTGCATTTTATAAATTTATGGAGGATTTTGCTGTTTTTGGCAGCTCTACTCCACTGGATTAAGGCTACCCAATACATACCTTGCCCATGTTTGCTAGTCTTCGTGGGATTCTGTCCAGTTGCTGTCTGTCTGACTGCTGCCTTTTATACTTTATAGGCTGATAAGGGTTTTTGTTATTCAAATAGCCTGAAACCTGATGATCAAGCAGGTCTGTGATTTCTGTTAATTTAAATTGTGCAATCACAGCCTTCATGAAACAAATAGAATGAAAGACAAACAGAAAGACAGAGTGAGAGAGAGACAGCAAATGAGAGTGAAAAAGCAAGAGAAATCACGTCAGCCAAGAGTTACCATGTCTGAAGAATTCCTTAAAGGGGTCATATGATGCGATTTCAAGTTTTCCTTTCTCTTTGGAGTGTTACAAGCTCTTGGTGCATAAAGAAGATCTGTAAAGTTGCAAAGACTAAAGTCTCAAATCCAAAGAGATATTCTTTATAAAAGTTAAGAGTCAGCCACGCCTACCTAAAATGGCTCATTCTAACACGCCCCCACATGTCTACGTCACTATGTGGAAATATTAGCATAATGCCCCACAAATGTGCACGCAAAGAAAGAAGGCGTGGTTTCAGGCAGTAGTGTTGATGCAGCCATGTCAGGGAGACGCTGTGTATTTCAGTGGCAAACGTTTTCAAAGTACTTAAAAAGTAATACTTGTCAGTCATCATAAAGAGTCTTATTTTTAACTAAATCTAAATAAATATCACGTTCATGTCAAATGAACAAAATTATATATAATTTTTTCAAAAGTAGATCAGCAGGTACAGTGTGCTTAGTTTAGATTTCCCTTCACATAACTGTAGCGATTTCAATAGTTCTACCAAGAGAGGTCACTAGAATTAACAATGGTGTGAAGCAAAACTTTATGTAAATGTGTATGAAAGTAAAATTTAGTTTTTTGTTTATATTCAGTATTTGACAAATCTCTAATGTATCAGTTTTGACCCCATATTATTCCTTTTTAAGTCCCCCTTTTCCCACTCTCCACTTTGAAGTAGCATTTGATTGCAGTAACATTATTTGAAATGTATAGGTTATTTAATGCCTTCTTAGACAGTATACAAGTATGTTTCATCAAACTCTGTCTCTAACATGTTGAGGTGTTTGAAGCACAGCTTTGAGACCTGTACCTGTACCTCAGCCTCTGCAAATGAAATGAGTTAATAGTAAAGTGTGATGGCTTTAAATGGCAGCTATGTCTTTGATTTGCAAAAAAAGTGGTTTAAATGTCAAGAAGAGCTATTTATAGTACAATTACTTTTGACCAATAGGTGGTGTTGTCACCAAATTGATAGGCATTTGTCATGGCATTGTGGCACTGATTAAAGAAAAATATTTAATGTAGACCAAAACATAGTAAATGTGTTAACTTATTACAGGTTCAAAAAAGTATATTATTGACTAAATTCAAAATGGCGACACACCGTACAGTGTGTCCAACATTGGAAATATGGGTTTTATTGCATTACCAATAATTAAAGGAATCTAAAGCATCATGATACTAATTAATTAATAAATAGCTGTAAGCATATATCATATACAGTAAACTACCATTCAAAAGTTTTTGAACAGTAAGGTTTTTAATGTTTTCTTTAAAGAATTATCTTCTGCTGACCGAGCCTGCATTTATTTGATCCAAAATACAGCAAAAGTTTCACAGCAAAAGTATTGTGAAATATTTTTACTATTTAAAATATCTGCTTTCTATTTGAATATGTTTTAAAATGTAATTTATTACTGTGATCAAAGCTAAATTTTTAAGCATCATTACTCATCATTACTTCAGTGTCACATGATCCTTCAAAAATCATTCTAATATGCCGATTTGCTGTTCAAGAAACATGTATTATTATTATTATTATCAATATTTGAAACAGGATTTCAGGATTCTTTGATGAATAGAACGATCCAAAGATCAGCATTTATCTGAAATAAAAAGCTTTTGTAACATTATACACTATATCATTCAAAAGCTTGGAGTCAGTATAATATTTTTTTGGAGAGGTGGGGGGTGAGGGGAAATTATAGAAATTCATAATTTTATTTAGCAAGGATGCTTTAAATTGATCAAAAGTGATGATAAAGACATTTATAATGTTACAAAAGATTTCTATTTTTAGATAAATGCTGTTCTTCTGAATTTTCTGTTCATCAAAGAAACCTGAAAAATCTATTCAGCTGTTTTCAACCTAATAATAATAAATGTTTTTTGAGCAGCAAATCAGAATATTAGAATTATTTCTGAAGGATCATGTCACTGGAGTAAAGATGATAAAAAAAATTCAGCTTTGAAATCACAGGAATAAATTACATTTTAAAATATATTCAAATAGCAGTTATCAAATATCAATATCAATATCAAAAAGCAGTTATTTGAAATAGTAAAAATATTTCAAAATTGTACTGTTTTTGCTGTCCTTTGGATCAAACAAAATGCAGGCTTGGTGAGCAGTGAGACTTCTTAAAAAAAAATTTTTTTAAATCTTACTATTCAAAAACTTTTGACTAGTAGTGTATATGGTGACCGTGATTTCACCAAGTGCAACATGTTCCTGGATCAAAATCCTTGTTGATCCTGAAACAACATTCCAATTAACCAATCAGAATTGAGAGATACATTTTCAGGAAATATCTGTTTTAGGCTTACGATCAGGGTTAGGTGCTTCTACACCCTTGTTAATCAGCTAACATTTCACACTGATTTTAGGAATAAATTATGGGTAGGGTTAGGTTTAGGGGTAGGGATTGGGTTAAGTCTGTATTTTTGGACAGTAATGTTGATCCAGGATCAACAAAAGATGTTGATCCAGGAACATGTCTTACTTGGCAAAATCACGGCGACTTAGTGTATATAGTGTTTTGTTTTGCCATAAACCTCTTAGGTACTCTCAGGGCATAATGCCAAGGTGGATATAGCTTTACTTCCACGCTGTCTAATTCGCTGACACATGAAAAATGATTTTGTGTATCAGAACACTTTAATTTTGACCACAATGGTCTTATGAGGATCTCTGTTTAATGAAACATTTAAAGGTCTAATATACTTTTATAATCTTTGATTGATGCACCCGACTGATCGATTTCCCCATCTATTAACAGTACTTTAAATTACGCATGTAAAATGCATAGAATTGCATGTAAATAAATTCAAGATTTAAAAAAAAGGAAACTTTTTTTTTAGGAAAAAAGTTTGTCTATTCGATTCAAAAGTTTACAAACATTAATAAAGGGGACGTTTTCAGATACTATCCAGTAACTGAAAAATTGTGAAAAACCTTTTATCATCAGGACATCTTTGTGCATTGTACCGCACTTCCATTTCCATATGTAAACATGCACTATTCGGACATGTTTGACTTTTGCACTCGGGTCTTGCATGTAACAGTAAAAAAAAATTGTGTCTCTTCTAGACCTTGCATTCCACTGCCCTGCAGCTCACATTTTTCTGCTCACAGCTCACATTTTTCATTGTTCTGTGTGAATAGCCCATAAGGAACACAGTAGATGCCTCAACACCAGTACTTGGCCTCTAAATCCTCCTTAATGTACGCCCTGATTGCCAGTCATAACAGTGATTTTGCTGGAGCTGATAGTGTGAGAGTGCTGTTGGCAAACATTTGAATGCAAATTTCTGTAGTAAGATAAATAATTAGCCTGAGCTGGCTAAGTAGACAACACTAGTTTAATCAACACATAATGGCATGTTGTACAAGCCTGAGGTTGGGGTTCATTGGCTAGGTTAGGAGGTTAGGATGCTTGGTACTCACAATTTTATTGTTGAACAAATCTATGATTCAGTGCTTTAGAACAATACATTGAGCTTAGATATTTTTTTGAATTGCTGATTAAATTGTGCCTTTGTTCAGGACTTGTATAAAGAGATTACAGCACGGTTTGCTATCCAACATTTCACACCTGACAATGACGACTGAGAGCGTAAGTGCCACTTTCTCCCTGATTGTCTGTGCCCCACAGTGTGGCATGATGTTTTAGCACAATGTAAACCATCAGTGTTGTATTTCCTCTGACAGATTGTGTTCTACGAAGACAGGAACTTCCAGGGAAGATCCTATGTGTGCAAGGGAGACACAAGTGACCTTCATTCTTTTTTTAGCCGATGTAATTCTGCAAAGGTGAAGGGGGGCTTTTGGGTCCTGTATGAGCGGCCTACATCAGCGGATACATAGAAACATCATATGTATTTCCTCCAGGTTACTGGACATCTCAAGCTGAAGCTCTTTGAGAGGCCCAATTTTGATGGCAAAACATGGGAAGTTACAGAAAGCACCCCATCCATTCAGGAACGTTTCCTCTGCAGAGAGATCCATTCCTGCAAGGTTCAGGAAGGGCCCTGCGTGTTCTTCGAGCATGCAAACTACCGTGGCCATCAGTACCTCCTTGAGAAGGGAGAGTACAGGCGACACACTGAATGGGGGGCCATGCATGCCACTGTGGGCTCTATTCATCAAATCACCACAGACTGTTGAAATGAATACCTGTCATCACTGCTACTGACAAATACTGAAAAATAAATTTATTTGAAGAGGCACTTATTGATATGAGTCGTATCTATTTTTGACTAGTTGCTATAAAACAGTATAAAGCTGAAATACTTCTAACATATTAAGTTAAAAAAACATTCTACAAGCTAGTTTATCATTTGTATGAATTTGTAAAGTCAAATCAAGTCACCTTTATTTTTATAATGCTTTATACAATAAAAATTGTTTCATAGCAGCTTCACAATATTGAACAGCAATCAGAATCAGTGATGCAAATTTTCAAAATAAAGCAAATCCAAATTCTGCTGCAAAGCAGCTGTAGCAAGCAGTAGTTCAGTGTTGATGTACTTCATTTCAGTAACTGTGTAAAGTTAATTTATTATAAAACATTACAAGATAGTAGTGTTGTTATTCAGTTCAATGTTGAATTTTGATTCAGTTCAATAAATGTTGATGTTGCAAAATTCAATAATGAACTAATTTTATGCAGGTATAAAGCAGCTCTACAGAGGACAATAGTGTCATTATTCAGCAGTTCAGTTAAATTCAAGTGCCGTTCTCATCCGATAGAGTCAGTGTGATAATATTACTGAATACTAAGTGATTTTTAGACCCCAACTAAGTGTGTCAAAGGCAACTGTGACAAGGAACGTAAACTCCATCAAGTGATAAAAATGGAGAAATAAATGAAACCTTAGGAGAAACTATGCTCAGTTGGGGACCAGTTCTCCTCTGGGCTAAATGAACAAACACAGTGTGGTATTGAGTACTGTGTGATATTTGTTAATACAGTGTGTGCAGCTCTTTAGCAGAAATGGTTACAAGTGAGATGTTTTACATATTTTATATTTTCATAAAAATTTGTCTTAAAACAAAAGACAGACATAAATCAGACAAACAACAGTAGTCAAATTCCTGAGCAATTTACAAAGCAAATCAAAATCAATTATTTTTATCAGATTGTAGTGCCTTTGCATAGATATTCATACCCTCAACTGGGACAGTTGAAATTTAGCTCAGGAGCATTCATATTGCTTGTAGATGTTACTACACTTCGAGTGGTGTTAACCTGTGGCAAATTCATTTGAATGGGTATGATTTGGAAAGGCACACACCTCTCAATAAAAGGTCTAAAAGCTGAAAATGCATATCAGACCAAAAACCAAGCCCTGAGGTCAAAAGAACTGCCTTTAGAGCTCAGAGACAGAATTGCGTCAAGGCACAGATCTGGGGAAGAGTTCAGAAAAAATTCTGCTGCATTGAAGGTTCACAGAAGCATGTAGCCTCCATTATCCATAATGGAAGACGTTTGGATAAACTAGGACTCTTCCTAGAGCTGGCCTCCTGGCCAAACTGAGCAAGTGATGGAGAAGGGCCATGGTTAGACTGGTGACCAAGAAGCTGATGGTCACTCTAGTTGAGCTCCATGATCATATATGTAGAAACTTGCAGAAGGACAAACAAACACTTCAACACTCCACCGATCTGGGCTTTATGGCAGTGTGGCCAAACTCAATTCTCTCCTCAGTGAAAACACATGAAAACACACTTGGAATTTGCAACAAAGCACCCTAAGAATTCTCAGATTGTGAGAAACAAAATTCTCTGGTCTGATGAACCTCAATTGCAAGCATCATGTTTGGAGGAAAGCAGGCACTGCTCATCATCTGCAGGGTACCATCCCAAAAGTAAAGTGTGCTGGAAGCAGCCTCATGCTGTGGGGTTGTTTTTCAGTGGCATGGACTGAAGGACTCGTCATAGTAGAAGAAAAGCTCAATGCACCAAAATATAGAGATAGCCTTAATGAAAACCCAGTCCAGAGCATTCAGAACCTCAGATTGGGCAGAAGGTTCACCTTCCAACAGAACAATGACCCTAAGCACACAGCAAGAGTGGATTATAGACAACTCTGTGAATGTCCTTGAGTGGCCCAGCCAGAGCCTGGGCTTGAACCCAATCAAACATTTCTGGAGAAACCTGAAAATGTGTGTCTGCCCACATCCCTGACAGAGATTGAGAGGTAAAGAGGTGAGGAGAAGAATGGCAGATAAATGCAGATGTGCAAAGCTTGCCGCATCATACCCAAATATACTTGAGGCTGAAATGGTGCTTCAACCAAGTACTGTGTTAAGGGTATGAATACTTATGCAATGTACTCATTTCAGTTTTTTAATTTTAATAAATTTGCAAAGTTGTCACAAATCTGTATTTTTTATTTTATTTTATTTTTTATTATGGTGTATGGTGTATGGAGTGTAAATTGATGAGGGGGAAAACAGTTATTTAAATCAGTTTAACATAAGACTGCAACAAAACAAAACATGAATACTTTCGCAAGGCACTGTATATAAAATTATGTGAGGCTATAATTTAAAAAATGAATGAATGAATGAATGAATGAATGAATGATGCATTTATATAGCACTTTATTGTGTATTGTTGTACACCCAAAGCGCTTTACAATCATATGGGGGGGGGGGTCTCTCCTCAACCACCACCAGTGTGCAGCATCCACTTGGATGAATTATATACAACATTCTATATAACATTCTTATTAGACCATTTGTGTTCACACTGAGAGCAAATGGCTAGTTTCAGTAATTCCAAACACTGTGATCAGATATTTTACTTTGTAATAGCATATTAATTTCTATAATTGCATATTAGTTTATAATATCATAACACTTGATTGTTTTTATTTACATATCATCTGTCTCTCTCTATATATGGAAATATATAGGAAATTTATAGTATTTGCTTTTAATTGTACTTGTGCAATAGTACAACAATGCAACAGTATCTGTCTCTATTTACGATGTAACCTGTTTTAAACTTAGTGTACATTAAATAGCCAATGCCTTGTTTTAATACTCTGTTTACACATGTATGTTTGGTACAGTGTTATTTTAGTATCACTGGGATAATATTATAGTTTTTAATAATATTTTATAAACATTTAGATATATTTTGTAAAATGTATTTTATAAATATTTATTTTCAATCTGTTTTATTTTTATATTTCTTGTTTTTGTTTGAATTTTAGATTTTAGGTAGTTTTAGTAATTTTGTTGTGTGTTTTTATCGTTTTTGTATTTATATGTACAGTTCAAGTTTTAGCACTTACCAACTGGCTGAAATATTTCAAATACTGACTTTTTAAAAATTGTTTTAGTTTCAGTTTTAGTTCATGCTATTTATACTAGTTTATAACTATAATAACCCTGGTTTGGTGGTCACTTTAAGGAACTGAATATGATTCATGAAAATACAAGTGTGAAAGCTGTGTTCATCAGATTGTGTCATTAAAACACCTTTTTCTTTTATTATTTTAATCTTCTGCTAAAAACGGCAAATGTCTTTTGTTTAATCTGTTGTCATTTTGATGGTAACACCTGAATTCATGGCAGCTTGGTTGCTTCAGGTGTTGCATTGTGTTGTGTTGAGCTGAATAAAAGTGTCCCACCATAGCTAAATTTGACATTTTTATTAATACATGGCATAGCATTCACTCATGTTATTACAGTAAAACGTTGTCTTGTATTATTAAAATAAAAAACATATATAATGCACAGCCTACTGTCAGTTTCTGTGGTATTGTGCACCTAAGTAAACCTACTGTCTAACAGTAGAGCAAGAGTTTGGGTGGAGTGTTCAAACACAAAATGCCATCAGTTCATTCGGTACGTGTTACACCTCATCCAATATGAGCATGTGGCTAGATGCCAGTGCTGCTCCAACTATGCCAGTACCAGCATCTGGAAAACAATTTAATTAGCCCAATAAATATTTTCTGGACTCAGCCATTGCAGAATCAAAAGGTCAGGGTTCCATACAATGGCCACTGCATTAATCTGCAGGAACAATCTAGAAACAATCGCAGTATCAGCTGTTGATGATGCAGTTGCTGCGGCCATTCATATAACAATGATTTGCCTGGCAGAGCAACTCAATGTGAAACATATAAATCTCGCTCATTGCCCTTTCAATACATCAAAAGGAGGAATGAAATTAGCCCCAAACATGGACAGAATGGGAAAAGTAAAACACATTTTGCTTGTGTAAACTGGCTCTGTGATCTCTTCCTTGGCTTAACTATGTTTCTACATATTCTCCCATACAGATTTTCTTTTATGAGGACAAAAACTTTCAGGGATGTTGTTTTGAGTGCAGCATGGACTGCCCAGAGCTGTCGTCCCACTTCAGCCGCTGTAACTCCATCCGAGTTGAAAGTGGGGCCTGGGTTTTGTATGAACGTCCAAACTTCATGGGCTGCCAGTACATCCTAACCAGGGGAGAGTATCCTGATTACCAGCACTGGATGGGCTTCAGTGACTCTATAAGGTCTTGCCGCATGGTGCGAAATGTAAGTCATCCCTATTTGGAGAACCATAGCTGGGCTATTTTGCCCAATGCAGGTTTATGTTCTTTTCAGCAAAAACATTCACCTACACCAGACATATGTGCCACACAACCATTCAAGAACAGCATTATTGGCCCTAAACTCCTTATTGTTCCCCACTGAAAGTTTATTTTCAGTATGCATAATCTGAATGTATTGTTTTAATAATTCAGTGCCCCATTAATATAATTTTAGGTGACTCTAGATATGATTCTGCTCTTTCTACAGTAAATGGCCTACCAGAAATCAGTGCATTGTAATGGTATTTGGCTATTCACTCTCTCTTTTGTAGCATAATGGCAATTTCCGTATCTGTCTGTATGAGCGGCCTGACTTCCAGGGTCAGATTATGGAGTGCAGTGAGGACTGGCCCTCTCTCTATGACCGCTTCCGTCACCGTGAGGTACAGTCCTGTAACATTCTGGATGGGGCCTGGGTCTTCTATGAGCATCCTAACTTCAGGGGACGTCAGTATTTGTTGGAGAGAGGCGAGTACCGCCACTTCACTGACTGGAGTGCCATGCATCCTACTGTCGGCTCCATCCGCCGTGTTCAGGAGTTTTAAGTCTTTTAATGTGTAGTTGATTGTTCCTTAACTATTTAATAAAAAAACGACTCTGAGCTCACCTAAAGCTCCTGTCTC